CTGGACCGCTACACTCGCCGTCTCTCTGTGGACTTGGACCGCTACACTCGTCGTCTCTCTCTGTGGACCTGGACCACTACACTCGCCGTCTCTCTCTGTGGACCTGGACCGCTACACTCCCCGTCTCTCTGTGGACCTGGACCGCTACACTCGCCGTCTCTCTCTGTGGACCTGGACCGCTACACTCCCCGTCTCTCTCTGTGGACCTGGACCGCTACACTCCCCGTCTCTCTGTGGACCTGGACCACTACACTCGCCGTCTCTCTCTGTGGACTTGGACCGCTACACTCACCGTCTCTCTCTGTGGACCTGGACCGCTACACTCCCCGTCTCTCTCTGTGGACCTGGACCGCTACACTCCCCGTCTCTCTCTGTGGACCTGGACCACTACACTCGCCGTCTCTCTCTGTGGACTTGGACCGCTACACTCCCCGTCTCTCTGTGGACCTGGACCGCTACACTCCCCGTCTCTCTCTGTGGACCTGGACCGCTACACTCGCCGTCTCTCTGTGGACTTGGACCGCTACACTCGCCGTCTCTCTCTGTGGACTTGGACCGCTACACTCCCCGTCTCTCTCTGTGGACCTGGACCGCTACACTCGCCGTCTCTCTCTGTGGACTTGGACCGCTACACTCCCCGTCTCTCTCTGTGGACCTGGACCGCTACACTCGCCGTCTCTCTCTGTGGACTTGGACCGCTACACTCCCCGTCTCTCTCTGTGGACCTGGACCGCTACACTCGCCGTCTCTCTGTGGACCTGGACCGCTACACTCGCCGTCTCTCTCTGTGGACCTAGACCGCTACACTCGCCGTCTCTCTCTGTGGACCTGGACCGCTACACTCGCCGTCTCTCTCTGTGGACCTGGACCGCTACACTCCCCGTCTCTCTGTGGACCTGGACCGCTACACTCGCCGTCTCTCTCTGTGGACTTGGACCGCTACACTCCCCGTCTCTCTCTGTGGACCTGGACCGCTACACTCCCCGTCTCTCTGTGGACCTAGACCGCTACACTCCCCGTCTCTCTGTGGACTTGGACCGCTACACTCGCCGTCTCTCTCTGTGGACTTGGACCGCTACACTCCCCGTCTCTCTCTGTGGACCTGGACCGCTACACTCGCCGTCTCTCTCTGTGGACCTGGACCGCTACACTCCCCGTCTCTCTCTGTGGACTTGGACCGCTACACTCACCGTCTCTCTCTGTGGACCTGGACCGCTACACTCCCTGTCTCTCTGTGGACCTAGACGGCTACATTCGCCGTCTCTCTCTGTGGACCTGGACCGCTACACTCGCCGTCTCTCTCTGTGGACTTGGACCGCTACACTCGCCGTCTCTCTCTGTGGACCTGGACCGCTACACTCCCCGTCTCTCTCTGTGGACTTGGACCGCTACACTCGCCGTCTCTCTCTGTGGACCTGGACCGCTACACTCACCGTCTCTCTCTGTGGACCTAGACGGCTACATTCGCCGTCTCTCTCTGTGGACCTGGACCGCTACACTCGCCGTCTCTCTCTGTGGACTTGGACCGCTACACTCGCCGTCTCTCTCTGTGGACCTGGACCGCTACACTCCCCGTCTCTCTCTGTGGACCTGGACCGCTACACTCACCGTCTCTCTCTGTGGACCTGGACCGCTACACTCCCCGTCTCTCTCTGTGGACCTGGACCGCTACACTCACCGTCTCTCTCTGTGGACTTGGACCGCTACACTCGCCGTCTCTCTCTGTGGACTTGGACCGCTACACTCGCCGTCTCTCTCTGTGGACCTGGACCGCTACACTCACCGTCTCTCTCTGTGGACCTGGACCGCTACACTCCCCGTCTCTCTGTGGACCTGGACCGCTACACTCCCCGTCTCTCTCTGTGGACTTGGACCGCTACACTCGCCGTCTCTCTCTGTGGACCTGGACCGCTACACTCACCGTCTCTCTCTGTGGACTTGGACCGCTACACTCGCCGTCTCTCTCTGTGGACCTGGACCGCTACACTCACCGTCTCTCTGTGGACCTAGACGGCTACATTCGCCGTCTCTCTCTGTGGACCTGGACCGCTACACTCGCCGTCTCTCTCTGTGGACTTGGACCGCTACACTCGCCGTCTCTCTCTGTGGACCTGGACCGCTACACTCCCCGTCTCTCTCTGTGGACCTGGACCGCTACACTCCCCGTCTCTCTCTGTGGACTTGGACCGCTACACTCCCCGTCTCTCTCTGTGGACCTGGACCGCTACACTCCCTGTCTCTCTGTGGACCTAGACGGCTACATTCGCCGTCTCTCTCTGTGGACCTGGACCGCTACACTCGCCGTCTCTCTCTGTGGACTTGGACCGCTACACTCCCCGTCTCTCTCTGTGGACTTGGACCGCTACACTCCCCGTCTCTCTGTGGACCTGGACCGCTACACTCCCCGTCTCTCTCTGTGGACCTGGACCGCTACACTCGCCGTCTCTCTGTGGACCTGGACCGCTACACTCGCCGTCTTCTCTGCAGCTCCAGTGGTCTCCACCCTGCTACCTGCAGCTATTAAGAAAGAAAATGGATTTCCAGTTTCAGTTGTGCAATCACGCCTTCATTTTTTCCACTGTGGTGGAAACAGCTGTGCTTCAACATTAGCAGAATAATGACATATTTTATTTATTTATTATTTTTTTTATTTAACCTTTATTTAACCAGGAATGTCCCGTTGAGATCAAAAACCTCTATTTCAAGGGAGTCCTGGCCAAGAGGCAGCACATTTCAAAACAAATACATACGAACAAACAAAGTTAAAATTACACAAAACAATTACACATTATTGAGGCAGTCTGTAGGCCTTTGAGTTTAGTTTTAAAAACATTTAAAGACAACAATTCAGTCAGTTTCCAGTCTTTCTGTAACAGATTCCACAAAAAAGGCGCAGAGTGGACAAAGGCTTTCTTACCCAGCTCTGTGTGGACAAGGGGAACAGACAGCAGCAGCTGATCATTTGAACGTAAGGAGTAAGAACCACTATTTGTCCTTGTGAGCAAAGTACAAATATAAGGAGGCAGCAATCCAAGCATAGCTTTGTAAATAAAAGTGTACCAATGCCCCTGTCTTCTAATGGCCAAAGAAGGCCATTTTACTCTTAAGTACAAATCACAGTGATGGGTCAGGTATTTACAATTGGTAATAAACCTCAAGGAAGCATGATCCATCGTGTCCAACATTAGAAGACATGAAGAAGAAGCGTTCATATACAGAATGTCACCATAATCTAACACAGATAAAGGTTGCAGTGACAAGACGTTTTTTTACTGCAAAAGAAAAGCACTGCTTATTACGGAAGAAAAAACGAAGTTTAAGTCTCAGTTTCTTTACTAGTCTCTCTATATGTGGTTTAAAGGTGAAGGAGTCATCAATCCAGACACCAAGGTATTTATATTCATGAACCATCTCTATGACATTTCCTTCAAGGGTGGACACCACTGGAATAGGCTCCGGGACCTTCTTTGACTTAGAAAACAACATTAGCTTAGTCTTGTCAGCATTGAGAACTAATTTTAGCTGAATAAGTGAATGCTGGAAAGCAACAAAGGCTTTCTGTAGGGTTTCAATGGCCTGAGCAAGAGATGATCCATAACAGTAAATAACTGTGTCATCAGCATAAGAATGCAAATTTGTGTCTGAGACATTTTGACTCAAGTCATTGATATATAAAAGGAACAGAAGGCGACACAATCACTAATGCATACTGTCACGGCCCGCGAGGGCAGACCGTGTGGAGAGTGTTTGGTGGATCCAGGTGCGGACACAGACGCAGGAGGCAAAACTTGTGCTAAGCTCAAAGCGAGCCTTTAATCAGGGCTGACACAGAAGGCAAAATAACAAACCACAAACTATGGGAAAACTAAAGACCTAAACTGGGAGTAACTAAGGCTATAAACGAAGACCAGGACTGAACTATGACGAAGTACTGCGGACAGACTATGAACACGACATGAGAAACTGTGAACGAGATCTCGGTGCTGGCACATGAAGGTGCAGGCAAACATGACTGGAGAAAGTGACTATGAACATGTCCAATACTGAATCTTGCAGACTAGAATCATGACGTGCAGCTAGAAATAACAGGGCGCATGAACAGACGACGCGACACTGACACGAAGACACACTGGGCTAAAATACACAGAGGAAGTCATCAAGTCATCAAGGAATTAGAGACAGAAGGGAACACAGCTAGAAACACTGACATAAGACAGGAACATGAACCTTCAGAGTAAAACAGGAAACAAGACAGCACTAAACAAAGACGCAGACACGACACAGAGACAGACTAGACACTGAACTAAACCTGCAATAAACATGAGAACACAAAACCTACGAACTAATCCCTGAACAAGAAGAACTGAAACAAAGAGTCATAATCATCAGCATCATAATAAGGAAAGAATCCAAAATGCAAAAACACACCAAAACATAGCGACTCAAAATACTGGGTCAAGCTGAGCCAGAACCGCGGCAGCATAAATAACAATGATTCTTTTCGTAGTGTGGTCTGTGAGTGCATGTGTGAAACACAGAAGTGTAAGCTCAGCTTACCACAGAGTCCACCAGTCAGACCATGTGTAACAGTGTGTGTTGTTGTGTACTGTACATGTTTCATACAAAGAGACAAAGAAAGAAGGAAAAGAACATGCTGGAGTCCCAAAGGCAGCACCTGGTGCACAGATGAGCTCTCCGAAAGCACAAGCACACACACAAAGTCCTCAGGCATACAACAGTGTGTGAGTGTGCACACGCTGTTAGGGTAGGTACAATATCTGACCGGCTGAATAAATCCTTTTCCCTCCCCAACAACTGTGTCTCTATTTGGGGAAAATCCACAGAAACATGAGTGGGTTTGTGTACTGGGAGCTTCAACCTGACCCAGTGTGCAGGCTTCTCCATGCTTCTGCATTAGCTGAACAGAAGAGGGAAAGCTGTGTGGAAACTGATAAACTATACAAAGTGCATTAATCTGTGTTCTCTCTGCTTCTCACCAGGCCTGCAAAGTGCTTCTCACACAGTGAGTGGACGAGGAAGCTGTCCACATACGTGAACGTGAGTCACTGATTGTCTCTTTCTTACTGGTACTCACTGGTGGACCACAGGAGTCCCAGTGTGACAGGTTAGTCTTGATGCATGACAGAGGTTACTGTAGCTGCATTCATGTAAAATTCCAAATGTCGCTCTTTGGCGTATAACTTAGAGCTTAGATAACTGAGCGCTGTACACAGCAGAGTGATCTGGGACAGAATGAAGAGCAGCAGTGAAAGGAAGATGACAGGTAGCCGTGTCATGACAGCACGTTACAATGAGCTGCTGGTGGCAGAGCTGAAGATAAACACAAATAAATAAACACAAGTAAACAGAGCATTTAAATACACTTTTACACTACAGTCTCATGTAACAGGCAAAGTTTAGTTACAGGTCTCCAAAAGTTGATTCTGTTCATCTGGACGTAGCGTTTTGTGGGAGAAACGTTTCGTCACTCATCCAGGTGACTTGCTGGTCATGAGAATTTGCATAATTACGATTAAGGAACTGACCTCCCAGCCCATTGTTCCTTCAGTGGGCTGGTTTCAGTCATTATGCAAATGTGCTGTTTATAAGATTGAAACCTGCAGTCAGCTGAGACTGAAGACGTCACCTGATGATGACGAAACGTTTGTGCCACAAAACGCCTCGTCCAGATGAACATAATCAGCTTTTGGAGATTTACTTACCTGGATGATTGAAAATGCATCAAGGCGTTTAGTTACAGGTCTTTCAAGAACGTTAGTCTTTGTTTTTAAACGTACAGATCGTACAAGTCCATTTTTGTCACGAATGGTTTCCAGAACTCTCCCAAGTGGCCAGGAACCACGTGGTGCAGAGGAATCCATTATAATGACTATATCTCCAGGTTTTAGACTCTTCTTCTTTTGGTTCCATTTTTGTCTCTCCTGTAACCAAGGCGACTATTCACGTAGCCATCGTTTCCAAAGATCTGAGAAGTACTGAGCCTGTTTCCATCTTCTCTTCAGATACATATCCTGAGGGTCAAATCAGGAGGATGTGATTTGGTGTAAGTGGCTCTGGGGCTTTTGGATCATCAGAAAGCTTTGTGATGGGTCTGTCATTTAAAATTGCTTCAGTTTCACACTGAACTGTATTTAATCCATCGCCGTCCAACTGTTGTTGCTGAAGAACGGATCTCAGAATCTTTCTGACCATACGGATTATCCATTCCCAAATTCCACCATGTTGTGATGCTCCAGGCGGATTAAAACTCCAAACAGCTTCAATTTGGGTATGTTTCAGCGATTTAAGAGCCTCTCTTAACTCTGTCTGCTCCAACAAAATTGGTTCCATTGTCCGATTGGATGCGAGCGACTTGACCTCTCCAACTCACAAAACGGCGCAAAGCATTATGCAGGCATCTGTGCTTGGAGAGCTAGCCACTTCCAAGTGCACCGCTCAGCTGGCTAAACAGGTGAAAATGACTCCATAACGTTTAGCTGTACCTCGTCCTCTTTTCACTTCACCGACGTTGGTGAGTGGTGGGTTATCTGGCAAAATTCTTTCCTTGGGTAAATCTGCCATCTTTTGCTCCAAGGCCTTTCCAGGATATTTTCTGCAAAAATTACATTCTGCAATAACCTTCCTTACAGCCGAGTTGGCCTTTGTGATCCAGTATTTTCTCCTTAGTGTGGATAAGGTGTGGTTACGACCGCTATGACCAAGCTGTTGATGAATGTGCTTTAGGATGAGACTTGCTACATGTTGATCCTTTGCAAGAACAAAGGGATGCTTCATTTCTTCTGGTAAGGAGCCCTTTGTCAGTCGTCCCCCAACTCTTAAGAGGCCTTCATCATCAAGATAAGGGTCTAATCTATAAATTGAGCTGTGCCTGCTCACAGAACCTTTCCCACTTGACAACGTAGCAATCTCCTCTCCAAATCTTTGTTGCTGGCAAAATCTGATAACGGCAAGCGCCGCTTCCAGAAGATCCTTTGAGGATAGACCATACAGTTGCGTTTTCTTTACTTTCTCCTTTGTAGTACCTCTACAAATTAGATTATTTGAGTTAGGTTGCGGTCTTCTTTTCTTATCTCTCATTGAAGGAAGGATTGCCTTCAGTCTAAGGAACCAAGCAACAGCAACCTTGAGCCTTCTCCAGTCTGAGAAGTACACCATCAATTGACATGTAGCATCAAGCAAGTCTTTTACTTGAGTAACATTCACTGTGGCCTCACCTTTGACTTCAGGGTCCTCTGGTTCTAAGGAGCATTCATTAGACTGGTCGGCCAATCACTTTCTGGCTACTGCAGAAAGCTTGGTCCTTCGATCCAGCGGCTGCTATGTGCAATGTTCCCAGCCTTCAGCCCTCTTGTAGCATCATCTGCTGGATTTTCCTTTGAGCTTACATATCCCCATTGTGATCGTTTAGTCGCAATGAATAAGACTGTTTGCCACAAAGGTAAGTAAACGTTTATCCTCATTCATTATGTATTTGAGTACAGATGTACTATCTGTCCAAAATACGGATTGCTTGAGTTTCATTCTCAACTGAGTCCTTAACATGAGATCCACTCGGACGGCAACTACAGCAGCTGTTAGTTCCAGATGTGGAATAGTGACAGGTTTTAGAGGTGTAACCCTTGCCTTGCCCATCAAGAATGCTACATGGATGGATTTCCTACTGTCTTGCATGCGCAGATATCCAGATTCACCGGCATCTGAAAAATGGTGTAGCTGTGCATGTGTGAGAGGTCCGAACTCTCTTGGTTGTATACACCTTTTAACCTTGAAATAAGAAAGCATTTGCAAATCACTGAGCCAACTTTTCCACTTTTGCAACATGTTTTGGGGTATTGGTTCATCCCATCCCAGTTTCCTTTTGCAAAGCTCCTGCTGCATTCTTTTGGCAGGCAGCAGGACTGGTGCAAGAAATCCCAATGGATCGTAAATAGAGCCTGATGTTGACAACATTCCACATCTAGTACAAGATTTTTGAGGAACACGGTAAACTGATTCTTATACAGCGCTATTCTCCTCTCGGAGTACTCATAGCGCTCTATACAACATGCCACATTCACCCATTCATACAAGCACTTCTAAACACAAGTGCAAACTAATCTGCATTCACACACATTCATACTCCAATGAACGCATCAGAGGGCAACTTGGGGTTAGTATCTTGTCCAAGGATATTTGACATGCAGACTGGGGAAGCCAAGGATTGAACCACCAACCTTCCAATCAGTAGCTGATCTGCTCTACCACCTGAGCCACAGTTATCCCCAAACATCCATTTTATTGTTGAATTTATCAGTTTCCACACACACTGCACGCCCAGAGCTCTTTCTACAGGAAGTTTGTCTCTATCAAGATTTAATTATTTTCTTTGCAACAGCGTGCAATTGTTACTGACCCACTTGGTCAGTGTAAATCCTCCCCTTTGACAAAGTGCTGAAAGATCTTTGACCAAATCAACAGCATCTGAGGTGGAGGCCCCACTCTTCAAACAGTCGTCCACATAGAAGTTCTCTTTTACTGCTTCACATACCTTGTCTAGGAATTCAGTTTGATTGTCCTCAGCTGTTTTTCTCAAAGCGAAACTGGCACAGCTCGGGGAAGATACTTCACCGAACAGATGAACGCGAAACTCAGTTATGTCCTTTATTGTCTTTATGTCACCCATAAATGCGACTGGATCCTGTCGAAATCTAAGCAAAACCCCATCAATGAGCTTGTGAGAGCTGCTTGTTTAATGATGTCCCCTGGAATGATGCCCCACAGTCAAATGCAATTCTTATAGATCCTTCCTGGGACGATGAGAAATGTACCACTTGTTTCCATTTTTGTAAGCCGTTTGCTCTGCATATCCGTTACTTATCATCTCGTCCATGAAGCTTTTATATTATTTATGCAACTGTTCATTGTTGAGAAGTTTTTGTTTTAGACTTTGCAATCTTTGTTTCACTATGAAGAAATTGTTTGGCATCTTTATGTTATCCTTTTTAAAAGGTAACTTCAGTCAGTAGTGTCCATTTTCCATTGTTGCAGATTCTTCCATGATCTTCATGAACTCTCTTGACAAACCCTTTTCCTCTATAACCTTTTCATTAAAATCATATTTTAAAGTGATAAATCGATAAATGTACTATTCTTAGTTAGCATATTGTCTGTCTTGTCTTAATGTTGGTTTATAATGGAGCACTGTAACAAAAAATAATTTCCCCCAGGGATCAATAAAGTATTCTGATTCTGATTCTGATTCTGAAAGCTCCTGGTACCAACGGTCTTGCATACAGTGTTTAGTGTGTTAAATGCTAAATGCTGTTTATCACATATAAGACCTGCAAACCACAGTGCTTTAACGATTCCTCTACAATATTAAGACAAGAGGAATAATTCGCCAGTCCAATGATCTTAAATCCAAAACAACCCTTAAAGCACAAAATAAAGTTGGTAATAAGATAATGTTCAGATGATCCTTTTCCTCATTATTATGTCTGAACACTTTTCTAAACTCCTCCACATTCTGTTTTGTGAACCAACACCTGTGATAAGACTGAGCCCAGCGCTCATGCTTGGGTTTGTTTCTGGGCTGCACTCTCTAGGGACGCACACAGGGACTCACACAGGGACGCACACAGGGACTCACACAGGGACTCACACAGGGACTCACACAGGGATGCACACAGGGACTCACACAGGGACTCACACAGGGATGCACACAGGGACTCACACAGGGACTCACACAGGGACGCACACAGGGACTCACACAGGGATGCACACAGGGACTCACACAGGGACTCACACAGGGACGCACACAGGGACTCACACAGGGACTCACACAGGGACTCAGCTGTGAATGTAGGCCAGGCCAACAAACAGCTCTGCATGCCAGAATGGGTCTATGCAGCTACACACTCAGCCCCCACCCCCACACCACACACACACACGCACACAGACACACACACACACACACACACGCACACACACACACACACACACACACACACACACACACACACACACACACACGCACACACACACACACGTGTCTGTTGTACATACACTGTCAGTCTACTGTCTTCATCTAATGCGTCTCTCTCTGTCTGCCCGCTCGCAGGTTATCGGCTGTCAGGACAGAGTCTGGCCAACTTTGAGGGGCAAACTCAGCCATTTGGAGGGACAGAGATGTTGTGGCAGGACAAGCATGCAGCCCTGACTTTCATGTCATTACTGCTGCTACTGTGGCAGGAAGCAGCACCCATTGAAGTCCCAGAAGACCGTAAGTCACCCAAATGGGTGGAATTAATATAGTACATACTTACACATGCAAGCTATAACAGTGGTTCTCTACTGGCCATGAAAACACATCAGTTCTGCTGGACAGTGGGTTCACATCTCTTGCTGTGACTGGACAAAAGTAAAGCTGCTCCCTTTGTAAAGAGTCACCCTGCAGGTTTGATGTTTTTATGCCAGATGCAACCTGAAAAGCATCTGTGCATCATCTTGGGACTGAACTGGAGGTCTTTGGCCTGTTATGCAAATGTGTAAACCACTACAGGGAATTATTAGGCAAATGAGTATTTTGTCCACATCATCCTCTTCATGCATGTTGTCTTACTCCAAGCTGTGTAGGCTCGAAAGCCTACTACCAATTAAGCATATTAGGTGATGTGCATCTCTGTAATGAGAAGGGGTGTGGTCTAATGACATCAACACCCTATATCAGGTGTGCATAATTATTAGGCAACGTCCTTTCCTTTGGCAAAATGGGTCAAAAGAAGGACTTGACAGGCTCAGAAAAGTCAAAAATAGTGAGATATCTTGCAGAGGGATGCAGCAGTCTCAAAATTGCAAAGCTTCTGAAGCGTGATCATCGAACAATCAAGCGTTTCATTCAAAATAGTCAACAGGGTCGCAAGAAGCGTGTGGAAAAACCAAGGAGCAAAATAACTGCCCATGAACTGAGAAAAGTCAAGCGTGCAGCTGCCAAGATGCCACTTGCCACCAGTTTGGCCATATTTCAGAGCTGCAACATCACTGGAGTGCCCAAAAGCACAAGGTGTGCAATACTCAGAGTCATGGCCAAGGTAAGAAAGGCTGAAAGACGACCACCACTGAACAAGACACACAAGCTGAAACGTCAAGACTGGGCCAAGAAATATCTCAAGACTGGTTTTTCTAAGGTTTTATGGACTGATGAAATGAGAGTGAGTCTTGATGGGCCAGATGGATGGGCCCGTGGCTGGATTGGTAAAGGGCAGAGAGCTCCAGTCCGACTCAGACGCCAGCAAGGTGGAGGTGGAGTACTGGTTTGGGCTGGTATCATCAAAGATGAGCTTGTGGGGCCTTTTCGGGTTGAGGATGGAGTCAAGCTCAACTCCCAGTCCTACTGCCAGTTTCTGGAAGACACCTTCTTCAAGCAGTGGTACAGGAAGAAGTCTGCATCCTTCAAGAAAAACATGATTTTCATGCAGGACAATGCTCCATCACACGCGTCCAAGTACTCCACAGCGTGGCTGCAAGAAAGGGTATAAAAGAAGAAAAACTAATGACATGGCCTCCTTGTTCACCTGATCTGAACCCCATTGAGAACCTGTGGTCCATCATCAAATGTGAGATTTACAAGGAGGGAAAACAGTACACCTCTCTGAACAGTGTCTGGGAGGCTGTGGTTGCTGCTGCACGCAATGTTGATGGTGAACAGATCAAAACACTGACAGAATCCATGGATGGCAGGCTTTTGAGTGTCCTTGCAAAGAAAGGTGGCTATATTGGTCGCTGATTTGTTTTTGTTTTGTTTTTGAATGTCAGAAATGTATATTTGTGAATGTGGAGATGTTATATTGGTTTCACTGGTAAAAATAAATCATTGAAATGGGTATATATTTGTTTTTTGTTAAGTTGCCTAATAATTATGCACAGTAATAGTCACCTGCACACACAGATATCCCCCTAAAATAGCTAAAACTAAAAACAAACTAAAAACTACTTCCAAAAACATTCAGCTTTGATGTTAATGAGTTTTTTGGGTTCATTGAGAACATGGTTGTTGTTCAATAATAAAATTATTCCTCAAAAATACAACTTGCCTAATAATTCTGCACTCCCTGTATATCCAGTAATGCACTTGTGAGATCTAAAAAGAGAAAAAAGTACTTTCAAGATAAAAATAGGGTCTGTGAAGATATGTATAGATCAATTCAATTCAATTCTTTATTTATTTGTCACATGTAGTTATAACTAGTACAACACACAGTGAAATGTTTTTTCCGGCTAAAAAGTACTCCCCCCCCCGACTGTGCATCTTACTAAACTTATAATAAAAAAATATCTATATAAAAGTATAAAAATGTATAATATCGTGCAAAATATTACGCTGTAATAGTTAAGAGCTATAGTGTACGTATTTACGTAAATACAGATGTAAATGATAAAATACAAATAAAAATAAGGATAAAACTCAAAAGAAAATTATATACTGTGTATGGAATTGTCCATCATGTTGTCCGATTTGTGTTTTGATTGAGGAGTCTCACTGTTTGTGGGTAAAAACTCCTCCTGAACCTTTCAGTTCTTGTTTTCAGGCTGCAGAGGCGTTTCCCTGACCTCAGTGGCCTGAACAGTTTGTAAGCGGGATGGCTGGAGTCGTTAGTGATCCTGATGGCCCGGGATCTGCACCTTTCAGCGTAGATGTCCTGCAGTGTTGGTAAAGATGTTCCCATAGTGCGTTCAGCTGTGCGCACGACCCTCTGCAGGGCTTTCTGTTGCTGTACTGTGCAGTTCCCGTACCACACCGTGATGTTATTACACAGGATGCTCTCAATGACCCCGGTGTAGAATCTCCTCTGGATGTTCTTGGAGATCTTAAACCTCTTTAAACGCCTCAGATGATAGAGGCGCTGTCTGCCTTTGCTGATGAGGAAGTCCGTATGTGTGTTCCAATTAAGGTCCTCGTTGATATAAACACCGAGGTATTTAAAATTAGAGACTTTCTCCACAGGGTTTCCATTGATCTGAATTGGGGTGTGAGTTTTCTCGCCTCTCTGTCTCCTAAAATCAATCACCATCTCCTTTGTTTTGCTGATATTCATGGAGAGGTGGTTTGCCACACACCACTTTGCTAATCCGTCCACCTCGCTTCGGTAGGCCCTCTCGTCAGATCTGATCTATAAGTCTTGAAATGTGTATATAAAAAAAGAAATCAGCAACTTCAAATGGAGCCTCCTATTAACACTTCCTCGAGCTTCCACCTTTTGGTGAAAGTAGATGATTTTTGGTGCAATTTTGGTGCACTTATTTGATAACGTTGTACTTGGCATGTGGACCTGACTCCAAAGCTTTATATGGAGACGGCTTGTCTGCAGGAAACCAAAGCAGTCCTTTCTCAACATGATCTAACCCTGTCTGCTACCTGAGGGCCCTTTACTGAGAACACCTGCTTCCATACTACAGATGAATGTACCCACATGATCGTTCCTTGAAATGATTGGCTCTGCTCGTGCTTGCTGGGTTAGCTCAACATAGCAAAGCTACAGTGACACTTGGCAGAGCTGGTTGTAGACAGTCACACCTACATGGAGTACTTCATGAATTTTTACCACTGTTAAATATTGTTGTTGACCCACTTAAAATGAGCTTAGTGGGCCAGTTGGGAACCACTGAGCTGTGTATGATAACAGCTGTAACATAGTACAATATTAATGTGTATTTGTCTCTAATATGATTAACAATCACAACTTGTGCATCTTATTCTGTTTCTCCTTGGCGTTACTTTGGACTAACAGCAAAGATCCAGCAAGACTGTAAGTGTTCTAACATGTTTTTGTCCCCACGTTCAGTACAGAGCAAACCTGTTGTCCTTCACTCAGAGGGTCATATATGGTTGTTTTAACAAAGCCAGTGGCATTCTTTAAAAAAGGTCCAAACTGTAATATTAAAGCAGCGCTGTGACTCCATCAACACCGTCATGAATCCTCACTTAAGACCAGATTTGAATGCACTGGGGGATCATCATCATTGTCAAGTGCAAAGTTTAAAGTCAAGAGTACAATAAACATATTTTAACCTCATACACAGTCTAAACCTGACCAAGCAGTCGCAAGTGAAAGCAAAAGTATGCACTTAGTAAGCCAAAGTGAGCACGTGCAGTAAAAACATAAGAGCCTTCAATGTCACTCCTGCAACATCCTCTGAATAGAGGCCATATTAGGAGGCTGCACTGTTTGCATGTGCTTCTATATGACAGTCTGGGTCTTTCTGACGTGTCATTGACTTCGTTAAAAGTAAAATTGGGAAACATTCTGCTGATGACCTGACTTTGTAGGGCATGCACATTTGTGATGCAGCATGTGAAAAAGTGAGCCAAGCACAAATCAATCAAGGACATCTCAACTTTCTTTTATTTCCATCTCAGCAAATATCTCTCAAACTTAGAAAAATGGAATTTATTGAACAGTTTCTGATAAACAATGCTCTATCTAGTCCCAGGTCGTCCTTGTGGAGCCCCCCCTCACATAACATTCCCATACTAAACTCAACAGTCTAGTGTAAATGTACTAGAGTTTTCATCAGACGCTGATTTATGGGCCTGCTACAAGTGACTGTTTGTCTGTTTGCATTATTACTAAAGCACAGTAATAATAGAAAGTGTTCAACATCTTAAACATTCATAGAAAGCATCAAATGCCATACCATGATGGCTCTTTACAAATATAATGCTGTGTTTTCTTCCAGTGGATGTGATTAGGTGGTGAACCTCTACTAAAGCTACTGTCTTGTTTCTCTCTCCCAGTGAAGCAGCCCCCAACTATCATGAAACAGTCAGTAAAGAACTACATTGTGGACCCCAGAGATAACATCATCATTGAGTGTGAGGCCAAGGGCAACCCAGTGCCAACGTAAGCTCACACACACTCCCAACATGAGTCATGGTAAAAACAAAGCATCCATAAAGAACAACGAATGACACAGTGGAGTTACTTGTTTGTACACATTAAGCCAAAATGCAGATGTACTGTGTGAAAAACATTGAGGTTTTGTATATAACTTCCATGTAATCAGTTTCTCACACCATTATGGAAGGATTTTGGCACATCTTCCTGTTGCTGTGGTGCAACATTGTTGAGTGTCGTCACAGCTTTGTAGGCATTCACCTCCCGGCCGTGTCGACGTCCAGCCACGCTGTTCCACTTTGCTTGATGGATCTTGACTGGGCCGTAGACTTTCTATAGCTTTGAGCTCTGGAGACTGGCTAGGCCGCCATTTACCATGAATTATACAATATTGTCACGGCTGGGGGCAGTCGTGTGGTGTATTGAAAAAAGGATCCAAAATGCAGGCACTGGCTGGGGTGCGAGTGAGTGTTTATTTACAGCGGTGAGAAGGTGACAAAACAGGAAGAGCAGAGCGGGGAGTAAACAAACCTAAACTGGGAAAACTAAAGAACAAAACTTAAACCAGACACTCACGGGAGGAGGAGCGAAATGCACGCAGAGAGACGCAGAATGAATACCAGGTAACAGAATAATGCAGCCGGACATGGACCTAAACAGACGACGCAACAGAGAGCACAGGAAAACACAGGGCTTAAATACACGGGGAGTAATCAGGGAATGGGCCACAGGAGGGAGACACAGCTGGGAGCAATTAGGCTAACGAGACAGGGGAGAGGTAAAACTGAACACACTGACATGAGACATGAACTTTCAGAATAAAACAGGAAACTAACAGACACAGTGAACCAGACAGGACACTGAACTTGACAGGCAGACTCATGAGCAGACACAATAACACCATGGACAGACAGAGGGAACACAGAAGTGGGAGCAGGCAGGCAAAGAACAGAAACCTAACAAATGGCAAAATCACAACAGAATACACACTCGGAATGAACAAAAGCATAAGGAAACACAAAACACTGAGTCCTCAGACTCAGGACCATGACAAATAAATTCCATTTGTGAATCATTGCACCAAAAGCTGCCACCATGTCACCGAGCTTCTTGCTGATGGTCTTGTCCATTCCAGTCTTATGTGGGTCTACAGTCTTGTGACATGCTTTGACAGCTCTTCGTCCTTGCCCATGGTGATGGAGAGGTTGGAATGGAAGAAAATGCTCCTGTGGACAGGTGTGCTTTATACATACACTGAACAAAAATATAAACGCAACACCTTTGTTACTGCTCCCATTCTCCATGGGATGGACGTAGAGACCTAAAATTCATTCCAGATACACAATATAACCATCCCTCCCAAACAGTGGTCACAAATCAGTCCAAATGTGTGGTAGTCGGCACATCTGCTATATTGAGATAATCCATCCCACCTCACAGGTGTGCCACATCAGGATGCTGATCTGACATCATGAGTAGTGCACAGGTGTACCTCAGACTGCCCACAACAAAAGGCCACCCTGGAATGTGCAGTTTTGGTTCACAGCAAAATGCCACAGATGCCACAAGCAATGAGGGAGCGTGCAATTGGCATGCTGACAGCAGGAATGTCAACCAGATCTGTCGCCCGTGCATTGAATGTTCATTTCTCAACCATAAGCCGTCTCCACAGGCGTTTCAGAGAATATGGCAGCACATCCAACCGGCCTCACAACCGCAGACCTCGTGTAACCACACCAGCCCAGGACCTCCACATCCAGCAGGTTCACCTCCAAGATCGTCTGAGACCAGCCACCCAGACAGCTGCTGGAACAATTGGTTTGCACAACCAAACAATTTCTGCACAAACTGTCAGAAACCGTCTCAGGGACGCTCAACTGCATGCCCGTCGTCCTCATCGGGGTCTTGACCTGACTCCAGCTCGTCGCCGTAACAGACTTGTGTGGGCAAATGCTCACATTCGATGGCGTCTGGCACGTTGGAGAGGTGTGCGCTTCACGGATGAATCATGGTTCACATTGTTCAGGGCAGATGGCAGCTGAGAATGTCCCAGTTCTTGCATGGCCAGCATACTCACCGGACATGTCACCCATTGAGCATGTTCGGGATGTGCTTGACCGGCGTATACGACAGCGTGTACCAGTTCCCACGAATATCCAACAACCTCGCACAGCCATTGAAGTGGAGTGGACCAACATTCCACAGGCCACAATTGACAATCTGATAGACTCCATGCGACGATGTGTTGCACTGCATGAGGCAAATGGTGGTCACACCAGATACTGACCGGTTCTGGGTCCCCAGACCCCCAATAGCGCAAAAAACTGCACATTCCAGGGTGGCCTTTTGTTGTGGGCAGTCTGAGGTACACCTGTGCACTACTCATGATGTCAGATCAGCATCCTGATGTGGCACACCTGTGAGGTGGGATGGATTATCTCAATATGGCAGATGTGCCCACTACCACACATTTGGACTGATTTGTGACCACTGTTTGGGAGGGATGGTTATATTGTGTATCTGGAATGAATTTTAGGTCTCTACGTCCATCCCATGGGGAATGGGAGCAGTAACAAAGGTGTTGCGTTTATATTTTTGTTCAGTGTATAATGAGATTGGACGAGGAGTTTTTGTAATGGATTGACTGATTACAGTCTCTGTGCCACTGAGCCAGTCTGTGGGAACCAGAATTCTGGCTGGTTTGTAGGGGATCAATACTTGTTTCACTCAGTGACATCCACTTCAATATATAACCTTTATGTAATGTGCTTTTTCTGGATTTTTGGTTGATATTCTGTCTCTCTCCATTAAAATTGCACTACCATAAAAATTAGAGCTTGTTCATTTCTGTATCAGTGAGCAAACTTACAAATTACCGTCTTTACTGTCATAGAACAAGAACAATATTCTATGTAAGCATTCTACTTTTTTACTCCTGCTACTTTAATACTGTTTATTCTCTGGTCCAGCTGATGGTGGCCAGCTGAAGCGGTGACTCAGGAGCAACATCAAAGGGCCACAGGGAATAGTTATGGACAAAAGGCTTTTATATGGACACATGTGCACTTTGTATGTTGCAACAGGGAGGAAACGGAAGTCTGGGAACTGCACAGGTCTAGAGAAGCAGGCTCAAGGGGACAGACATAAGTTAGTCCAGGTGATTTTTTGCAGAGGATTTCAAAAAGGATTTCCCCACGAGGGAAGACGCTGTTGAAGGGTAAGCAGGCAGGTTGTAGAGGTGAGTATAATAATCTAGCAGAGACTGGGCTGCAGAGCTGGTTTATTTATACTGCAGCTGATGAGGCTGACAAGGGAGTGGAGAGGCTCCAAGCACCACCCAAAGGCTTGTACAAGACCTCAACCTTTCCTAGGCTCAGAGAGTTAAAAACATACACAGTCCATTGGCAGACTATGGCAATCCTCCCTACTCAAAGGCCATCTACAGGCCGAGTACCGGACTGCACCACCTGAGACCTAGTGAAGTCTGTGATGAGGGAACCACAGATGAGGAACCTTCTCAGGTTCCTACCCTTCCAGGTGACGAGGTCGGTCAGAGGAGACATCAAGGGCTTATAGTCTCAGCCGGCATACAACACAGTAATGGCATGTGTAGAACAACTGTAGAACGGTAAAAGTTCACCAGCACCGACTGATTCCTCCTTAAACCCTTGAAAAAGTGCAGCTGCTGCTGGGCCGTCTCCACAACAGGGGTTGAAAGAGCCTCAGAGATGTGAGATCTTAAAAGGTTTGGGTCAAGGAAAAGCCAGAAGAGAGCATTGGAGTAAATTATGGGAACCACAAGATACAGACGTTTGGATCAATAAAGCCATCCATGGTTTTAGATTAATCTGTTTACAATTCAGCTCTGCTCAGCACCGAGGCTCATACACAAATGAGCTGTCACATTGGTTTACAGTGTTTGTACCTTTCTCTGTCCCGCTGTTGCTCTGGAGCATTTGATGCCTCACACACGGGGATGAGGCTTAAAGGAATAGCTAACACCAAGTCACACCTCTGTAAGTCAAACTCAGACCAGGCCTAAACACAAACACAGACACCACTGCTTACATCACTGGGTGTATGGGCAGCTCAGAGCAGTGGTTCATTGTTTCACTGGAGACAGGAAGATTTTTGTGTTCACACAGATAAGTACACAACCTCACAAACAGCCACTCAGAGCCACTACGCCATGTGCACATGCTGTGTCTCCTCTGTTTCAGTAATGCACATGGTGGACATGGATCATTCACCAAAAAGGATTGTTCACTTACTTGCAATCAGTCTCTAACTACATAACACACACACACACTCTCCTGGTTCGGTGCTCTGTGTTGCACCACAAACAGGCCGAGCACAGCTGTTACTTGCTGAAAAACAACAGGAAGCTTTACTTGTAAATCCCCACGCCTCACTAAAACTGGAGCTGACTTCCTCACTAACCAACCACACGGATTAAAGTATTACTAAATGCACGTGCAGACTGTGTGGTGGATATTTGTACTGCCATCATATAACAGTTGAGTAATATACAGTCATGTGAAAAATACATCTTCTTTTAATTGTAGGGTTTTGTTTATTAGGACTGAATCAGGTCCTTAGACGATACTAAAACAGAATGAAATAGAACCACATGTTCCAATGGATAAAGATGCTTTCTCCTGGTAGATTTTCCAAAGAAGCCATGCTTGGTTAGTCTTTATCAAACTGTACTGTACCTTTGAACGTACTAAGATGTAGCCTCTGGAGTTCTTGCAGTTTCTCTGAGCGTTGTGTGACCTCAGGGTGACCTTGGTTGGTATGTATATCCTGGGAGGCTTGATTTCCATTTGTGCACGATCACTCTCACTGTTGAATGAGGGACTTTTATTTGTTCTGGAAATCGTGTTGTGTCCATGTTGGGCAGCACCAGTTGCATCACTAAGATTATTTCTGTGGTCTTTCCTTTTTAGCATACCAGAAAACTGCCAAACGTCGGCTTTTATACAGGTGGTCCCAGTGTACATGTC